ATGATGATCTCGATGGGATGATAGATAATCTGGAGACGTCATTGGGTTTGTTGTGTCAGATTGTTAGATTGTCCGGTGTCATCTGTCACTCGTCATATGTCATTTGTCACCCGTCATCTGTCATCTGTCAGTGTGTTTTATAGCATTTACTGTACTGTACTGTACTGTTCTTTGCTTTGCTATTCTATTCTATTCTGGGGATGTAAATAAATTAAGGAGAAAGAGGGGAGGGGAGTTGATGAGGGGAAGCGGGTGCGGAATAGGGAATGGGAATGGGAATGGGAAAAGGAGAGCAGAGGAGCAGAGAATAGAGGATAGAATATAGGTTTTTTCTTGTTGTTGTGTTTACTAGGTAGGTACTTTATGATTATTCATCTTTCGCAGATTAATGAGACGTTGCTTTCTTTTTTACTTTGTTTTTCCTTTCTTCTTTGCGGTTTCTGTGGTTTCTATGATTTCTGAGGGTTGAAATTCTTGATGTGGGAGATTGAGATGGAGATTGAGATGGAGATGGAGATTGAGATGGAGATTGAGATAGAGATTGAGATGGAGATGGAGATGGAGATTTTGGAACCTTGGATGGGAATCTCTTTCGTTTGATTCTTTTTCTTTGAGATGATATAGTATGGTGTCTCAGTATTCAGCGATTCTCAATACTTGTTTTTTTTTCTTTTGGAATTTCTTTTCTTTTCGTTCCGTTCTGTTTCGTTGTGTTATGTTTCGTGGATTGGATTAGGGGGTTTGGAAAATGAGGTGAGATGAGATGAGATTATGAATTGGTGTGAAGCTGGAATAGGTTAATTGTGAGTCTTGGGATGGGATGAATGGGAATGGAATGTGGCTTTTCTTTTTTATGAGCGATGAGTGAGTGCTTGATGGGAAAGAAAGGGGGATTGAAAGAAGAAGGGGTTTGTTTGTATGGACGGTGGATTTTATTTTTGATTATCTGGCTGAATTGTTTTGGATTTGGGAGTGATAGGAATTGTGGTCGAGGAGTTTGTAAAGATTACTTGTTACTTTGTTATGTTCTTGGGGTAAGGCGGGATGGGATGGGATGGAGGGGAGGGGAAATGATGGAAGAAAGAAGAATTTCAACGTATGCGCACTGTGCGGTCAACAATGCTGAGGTCATACGAGATACGGGGGAGAATGGGGGCACTTTGCTAATGGTCAACGAATGGTTAGGTTGAGACGGGAGAGATGTTTTCTGATTCATACTTGAGAGATAGAAATATGGGAGACGAGAAGCGAGAGAGGCGTAGAAAGAATGAGAGATACAGTGTCTTTTGGGGGGATTTTGGAGATCTTGGCTTACATCTCTTAGGTAGGGGAGAAGGGTAATGAGGGAAAAGACAGGATAACGTGGAACAGGATGGCTCGAGAAGTCTTCGAGTTTATCAGATAAATTAGGTTATTGATATGAGGAGAAAAACTCGCTAAAGGTAAGATATGTTCGGAAATCCGTCTCGAGGCGCTTGAACAAGTTTTGGGGGGGGGGGGGGGGGGGGCTTGAAAGGAGATGAGTGACTAGACTGGGTGTCTATTCTGAACCAGAGGTATGAGGGGCTAATTGACATTTACACCATGATACATCAGAGCTAAGGATATCAATCGATGTGAAATTCACTTTATCTATTGTTATTTTGTGTACTTTCTTAGAAGATTTGTTGTTAAGAGGAAGAACGTCTGGATACATAGGTATGGGTGAGGTGAGTTAATTTCTCAATCCTGAATATGCAGGTGTTATGATGGATATATTGGAGAGTTTTTGTCGTTCTGATGTGTACGGGGCTTTGTTATTCTCTGTATGTATAAGTTTATGTGTATCTGAGTATCTTTCCTCGGTGTTTGCTTGTACTGGATCTCAGAAGGTAGTTTTGTGGATGAATGGGCGTGGTATGTAAAGGCTGGAAATAGAGCTTTTTTTTCTAGGTCATGATCATTTAGATGGAGAGTGATACAAAGTGGGATCATGGTAAGGGTTGAATGGAACTGTGTGGATATTCAGAGTATCGAGGAGGAAGAAAGGAATCAAGATGGATTAATGGTGGAACATCCTCTTCGGTATCGTTCTCATCTTCATCAATTTTCTTTACAAGAATGGGCAATGATATTTTGCTGGTCTTATTGGGGCTTGCGAGAATGATCGCTTATATTGACTCGAGGAAGAAGGGGGGGGGATATTATGGATAGAATCTTCGAGCGCAGCGAGCTATGGGGGTTTGGGGGCTTGCCCCCATAATCATGGTGATTAAAATGATCGTTCGCGGAGATGATGATGTTGGGATGATTATGCGATATGGAATGATGGGCTTGATGGTTGATTTGAAGTTGAGTTGGTCTAGTCTACATAGTTTGTGAGGAGGGGGAATCGAGGGATAGTTTTGTATGATTGATGTTGTTTTGGTTCATTTGAATAAAAAATGATGTGTTATGTGGTAGATGAAAATTCGAAATTTGATAAATTCGAAATTAATACTCTCAAACTCAAACTCTGCATAGGTGAATTGAAGCAAAATATTGAGATACAATTTTGTTCATTTTGATGTTAAGCTGTACGTGAATACGCATGTTCAAGATTCAAACCTCTAGTTTATATGGCTTTAACAACACTTTATATGAGTCGACAAAAATATTTTAAATTAAGAAATGGCAATTATCAAAGTCAGGTTATATTTTAATTCAAGAGATAGATAGAAATATAAATTTATTGATTTAGTAGCGAATTCTATTCAAATCTTCATTCACGGTTCTAGAAATCATCAAATTCTCAAAACAGACTAGCGCCATCCCAAAAATTATCTCGAACCTCAATTATTTTGTCCCGCCATAGTTGTAACTTTTGAATGTGCCATTGCTTCCCACGCACAACAGCTACGATACTAAAGGGGAGCAGGTCCAGATATAGGAGAAGATCTGTTTACAAGGAGTGATAAATCGAATATTGCAAGAACCCATTTCAGGGCTCAAAAGAGCTCGAATTTTTCAATCATGGCATCAACTCGTATGTCGCCCGGCGGGGCACTCCTACGAGCCTCCCGAGTCTTCGCAATTCCCAATCCTCTCCCCCGACCAACCGGTACCCTCTCCTCCCAAGCAACCTTCGATTCCGATACCGCGACGCTCCCCCATCCAATCCATCAATCCATTACCACCCCGCCATCCTCCCTCGCAAAAGGTGATTGGGGATTCAAAAGACCCCTCCCTCTACGAGCCACCACCCGCACCTCCACGCCCATCATCCGCGTCGAAGCTATAGATACCTTTGAGCACGTTACCGAGTTTGGTTCTGCGGCGGACCATAGTCTCACATTACAAAAATGGCAGGAAATGAATATGCCCATTTCGACACCCCGGCTCAGTAAATCCGTCTCTGTGAGCCGCGATCAAAATATTCCTAAACATAGAAGTGTTTTTGATGATAGTATCGATACAACGGTTAGAAATTCAAGTATCCAGGCGGGAATCACAGGACATGGAAAAGACGACACGCGCTGGAAATTCTCAGGACCATGGTTGGCGGGTTTGACCGAGGGCGAATTTCAAGAATATGTAGCGAAGGAGGTGGGAAGGAGAAAATCGGAATTCAGGCAATTCTTAAAGGAATCGTGTGCTGCATCTCTGACGAATGAAGCGAGAAAGAAGGCAGTTCAGAGTGATGAAGGGTTGGGAGATTTCAAAACCACTTCCGTGGAGGATGTTACAGAAGAACAATTATCAACTTACATCCGCCATCTACGATACGACATCTCCACCCTCAATCTCCAAATCCGCGCCTTCCTCGATCTTGCTCCTTCTCCTGCTCCCCGAGCCCAAGACGAAACAGAGATTTACGATGAATTAATTTCTCTCCGTCGACCCAAGGCCGTCGAGGTCGTATCCAGCTCTCCGTATGCCGAATCCGGACCTCCCAAAACCCATCCTAGTGCCGGATTATCCTATTCGCGCAATAACAGCTGGACATACAACCATGCGCTTTATGGACCCCAAGCCCATGCTCCTCCCGTTGAAGCCCGTATCGTCATGCCCAAGAATGCATCGGGTGCTCCTCCAGTACTAGGTGTAGGAGGTGTGGTTGCGGATATTCCATCAGGATTTATTCAATTCGATGTCAAACCTCTTGGAAGTAGCAATCCTAGATCCCACGACCAAGTTGCCGGATTACTATTTGTCGAGCCGCAGAAATATGGAGGAAGCAAAACGTGGGTCGAACCTAAACATGCGTACATTGATGCAAAGGGAAAGATTGTACTTTCTGTCATTCCAGCGGATAAAGATGCCGTGGCAGTGAAAGAAGGAAAAGTAGATGAGATTCCAGAACCACTGCAGAGAAATTATTTACCAGCGGGGAAGACGATCACGAGACAAAATGGTAGTGGTGAAGGATACGGATTGAGTGGATTTTAGAAATCGCAAATCGATTGAGTAAATGAAATGTGTATATTATGTTGCAAATGTACATTTTACAAAGAATTCAAATGAATGTTAGACATCATTACAAGCATCCCATTCAAATATAGTGTAAAATTACAAATTCTTACAGACAGATTTCATCTGGATGGAGATATGGGGGCAAGCCCCCAAACCCCCTTTAGCTCGCTACGCTCGAGTTACAATCGTGTGAAGAATATAAGAAGTATTTTATTCTCTTTCTAAAAAACACACCTCTACCTCCCCTGCTCTCTGACCCTGAAATTCTCGGAGGGCCAGTGGGGCGTAGTCAAACATAAATCAAGGAAGATTTATATATATGTATATACGATGGTATAAGTCAAGACTTTAATACCCATCAACTAAATTCCATCCCCAAATGCAAATGAAGAGTACCTAGCAACACCTATTATATTTAAAGTAAAGTCCTGCATTCATATTCGAAAATCTTTCCAATCCATCTGCTCTCCAATTTCCCTCTACTTTATATCTTCTTCTTCTTCTCTCCATCACACCCCTCGCCTCTCATCCCCTCAGTATCTTTTGCATACCCTCACCCATCCACTCCACTACAAAACCCCCTGCGCAATCCACACCACCCCCTCCCCATCATCCGCCCCCACGCTCGCGCCCAGAAACCACGGGGCCCCAAACGTACACCCACTCCCCGTCGCCACACTCATCACACACATTCCCTCTGGCGTCACGCCCCCCGGACCCAACGATCCCCGCGCCAAATACCTATACGGCACGCTCACACTCACCGACGCATTTCCCGTCCCGGCAAACTCAAAATCGAGCGTGAGATCGCGGGGGATCTCTTCGCAGTTCGATGGGTAGACGATGATATTTTCGTAATCCTGGAAGCCGGTGCGGGCGAAAAACGCAGTGTTGTTGTATGCGTACGGGAGCGTGAGAGCCAGGGAGCCCGAGTCCACGAGACATGTCTCGGTGGGGTAATCGGTGGGGATGGAGGTGTTCGCGTGCGAGATGATGGGTTGGGAAATGTAGTATCCGCTTCCGCCGGCTGGCGTCGTGATAGGCACGGGGATGAGTTCCCCGGTGTAGGAATCCGCGGGGGGGAGCGCACCCAGGAGGAGGGTTCCGGTGAAGTTAGAGGTGATGGATGCATCGGCCGGCGGAGGCGAGAAATACATCGAAGCCACGGATGCGGAAATGCGTCCTTGGTTTAGGAGGTTGGTTTTGAGATTGGGACCGTTGTCGTAGGTGGTCGAGGGACATAGACCCATGATACCGTAGTCGTAGGAGAGCTCTGGACAGGGCTCCCCGTCGGCAACATACTGACGCACGACGCCGGAAGATACGAGCGCGATTTCGATGTTAGGGATAGCGGGGCTGGACGAGAAATACAGCGTATCGTTTACGGAGTGGGTGGCGTCGAGGATTTTGGAATTGCCACCGTAGGAATAGGATTCGGCGAAGTTGGAGAGGGTGACGTTGTCGGGGTGGTAGTAGTATGCAGGACTGGTGTTGCACGCACCGGTGAATCCGAGGTATTGGGATCCATAGTTTACGGTTGCGTTTGGGCCGAAGACCTTGTGTTCTATTAGTTTTTGTTTTCTCCCTGTTTTCCTCCTCTCCCTCCCTCGAAAAAATCAGATATTTTCATCTTCCTCCTTCCCTCAAAACCCAAATCACAAATCACAAATCACAAATCCCGCCCCCCTTTAAAACCCCAAAAAGAATCAAAAATAAACATACCCAAAAATCCGCACTCCCATAATCAACCACAACCTCGATACTCTGCCCAATCTCTTCATTGCCACTTCCCACCATAACCGGTGTAGTGACTTTACTCAACGGTCCATACAAGAGACGAATTGGCATTGAGATTGCATCCGTCTGTGCATGCGTGATGGTATTTAAAGCCATCAGGCTTGCCAATGATGAGGTTTTCATTATATGTGATGGAATTCCCCAAAGGAGGAGAAACAGGAAGACAGAGAGAAATCGGAAATCGAAACCCAAAAATCAGTAACCGAAAAACCAAAATTTATCTCAGAAGAAAGGAAAAGATATTCCATCAATTGATACACATATATATATATATATATCTACACTCTACCCTTAGTGTACCCAGATATCCATATATCTCAGAGACTTAATATACTTAATATAGAAAGCCGTGCATATGACATGCGCTTGCCATACTCAGGTACGGTACCTACTCTACTCCGTATAACCTTACTCTATACCATGACATGCTATGCTATGCTATATCGTACAATGATATAATATAATTCCCCCCCTTCCAAATCAAGCGGGGACAATACGAGGAAAAAACCAAGGAAATATCGTATACGGAACGGAGTACATTTATTTATTCCCTTGATCATTGCCTCCGTTCATCCATTCTTCAAGATATATACAAAGTACGGAGTATGGATGCATTGTTCACACCACCGGTATTTAACTTGATGTGACTTATTTATATACGAAGTACATACGAAGAACATATATATCGGTACCGAATACAATGTAACATAACCCCATTCCAGTACACAATATTCCACACTCACCATCTATCGTATATCTATATATCTACCTACCTTCCTATATCCATACCGATATCGACACCGATATAATCCCCAATACCTACTTATCAGGTACATTCATCTACCCATTTATTCATTCACCCATCCATCCACCCATCCATCAAACCTTCCCTTCCTCCCCTTCCCTTCCTCCCCCTCCCCCTCCCCCTCTCATCCTCTCCACAGTATAAAATCAACTCTCTACAATCCATCCATCCATCCATCAAAACCCTCAAACCCCTCAAAACCACAATACTCACATCCCCCCCCTAAAATTCACATCCCCCCCCTTTAAAATTCAAACCCCCTCAAAAAAAATTCCCTCCCTCCCTCCCATCCCCCCAAAATTCCCAAAGATTAACATCAACACAAAAAATAGAGATGAACCCACCCAACTTACAACCTACCAAGCACGACACCACACTACACTACACCACACCACACCACACCACACCACACCACACCACACCACACCACACCACACCACACCACACCACACCACACCACACCACACCACACTACACTACACTACACTATACTCCGTAATCTTACCTATCCTCTATCGTAAATCAATTAATTAATTAACATATATACATACATACATACTTGTTTATTTATTTATATATCTATTTATACTACCTAGACCTATCCTGGGTACCTAGTCAGGGGTAAAATAAAATAACCCCAAAGAACCCCCCCTCTCCCCCCCCAAACAAAAAATAAAAAATAAACCAGTGTTCTTTGTGGAACTAGGTAATAATTGTAAAGCTTGTTTTTATGCACACGATTATCGTATACTGGTAGATAGATTGATGTATCTTATATCATATGTATCTAGGTAAATGATATATATATATATATATATATTAAGTAGATTACTGAGCTGAAGGAGAGGATGAATTTCAGAGATTACTAGTACAAAAAGAGAAATGTAAATTTTTAATGGATCAATCATGCGATGCCTTCCTAATAAACTAACTGTATACACGTATACACACACAAAACCCGCTGCAATTGACTATCTTTTAATCAATTCATCTCATACCATCTCAATCCCCGTTGGCATATCACAATGCTCACAGTATCAAAAGTTTCATCAATTCACCCCATCCTGACATCCCTTCATACTCCCTCCTCCCCTCCTTACTCCTACCATCTAGCCACCCAAACCTACCCACAACCCCTCACAACTTAATTCCCCTCTCCCCAACCCACCCAACTCCTCGGCATAACCCTCCAAATCTTGACTTCACCACTTCTCAAATCATCCAACTTGAAACTCTCTAGCTTAACCTTCTTACTCTCCCTTCCTTGTTCCCATGCCCTTAACTTTTTCTTCGTACCGTCCCATTCAGCAACTACACCCATATGATCGGGTTTACCAACTTCTGCTGTATATTTCGTATGCATTGATCCATGTTTACCTTGGAATCTGGTATTTCTCAGTGTAACAATATCACCTGCTCGGATCTCATCAAATTGTTGAGTCGATGCATTGGCCATATTACTATAAACAAGAGCACCATAAGCTCGAGTACCTACTGGCATAAGTACACCAGCTAATGGTTTCAGTAATTCAAGAATTAATCCTTGAGGTGTACCATCACCAACAATAGTATTTTGTCTAACAGTCACTGCTTCAATGACACGCTTACCAAAACGTTCATGAGCTTCTTCCAATTGATCTTGACGTAAACGAGCAGGAGGCCCTTCATGTTTTTGTTCAAGTTGACAATCAGAAGGATCCTTTGGATTGTATTGAGCTGCGATGATCGTTTGAGAGTAATCATGAAATAAGACAAAAAGTTCTCTTGTGACAACAGGTTGATTCGTATCAGAAATTGATGATGTATCTTCCGATTCGGTCAAAATGTCTTTTCGAGCCTGGAAAACAGGGGGGAGACTTTTCTTGACAATCCACCATTGACTACCAATTCCCAAATCAACATCATTGGCCATAAAACCTGAATCCATAGACATTCTGTTTAAATCCATAGATCTTCGTACACCACCAGTAACAGCCGCGCGATTAAGATCCAATGATTGTTTTATTGAAGGCTTATTCGGAGGTGGAGCTGGAGCTCGACCTTGTTTAGGCGAAGCAAATGATCTTGGTGGAGAAGCTGAGTATAAATCATCTTCAACAGGTTCCATTTTTGGTGTAGCTGGAGCAACTTGAACTGGAGCAGTGGTTGTCGTTGGTGCATAATTGTAAGGATCATATTCATTGTTCTCAGGTTCCCATGGAGCTGGAGCTCTTCCAGGTGGTGGCGGTGGTGGAGCTGGTGGAGCAACCCTAGGAACCTCTGCTGATGGACGAGGTGGTGGTTGTGACGGCAATGGTGGTGGAATAGCTTTTGGAGCTGGAGCTGTAGGTGGAGGAAGTGGAGGAGCAAAAGTTGGAGAAGCAATTGGAGATCGAAGAGCGGCATCATCAACACTTGCTTCTTTGGTGTGCTTTAAAGCATCTTTATGTGGTACCGCGGAAGCGATATCAGTATCATAATCACCTTCATAATCGTCTTCTTTTCCATCGTCCACAGGTGGAGGAGGTGGATTCAAGTGGGGGATAATATTTTGATCACCTGTTGAAGATCTGCTCAATGGTGCCCCAGGCGGAGGTGGTGGAGGGGCTCGAGTTTGAGCTGGAGTAGGAATACCAAGCGGGATAGGCGGCACTCTACTGGCACGTCTACCAGGCGTATTTGGAGATTGCGGTGATTGTTCAGAACCAAAGTATGAAGCTCTCTTACTAGCTGGTGATCGTGGAGAACCTGGTACCTCAGAAGGTCGAGGGGGAGCTTGAGGGGGTTCAGCCAATGACATATTTCGTGCTTGCTCAGCCATTTCATCATCAGACTCATAACCAGCGCCTGGTGACAAGATCTCTGCAGGAGGAGCTGGAACTGGTCGAGCTGATATTGTAAGTATATCGGATTGATTGGATTCACTGGTAGATGACTTACAATCAATTGGAATAGGTGGAGGAGCAGGTCGTCCACTCGGAAGAGGGGGTGGTGCGCCGCCATCATGAGTTGGAACTATAAAAAGAATTAGTCTTTGATAATCACATTATGGGATCCAAATGTTTACCCGGTGGAGGTGCTGATTCTTCTTCTTTCTCAGGTACAACATCCTCAACATCCGGTACTACATCAGCAGGACGCGCAGATGAGACTGGTCGCTTCTCTTCCTCAGTCTCCTCCTGTTTCTCGACTTCATCCGGACTTCGAACTCGAGACATACCAGGAAGAGGAATCATTGGTACAGGTGGCGCGCTAGCGATTGGGGAAACTATCGCGTCTGATCCAGCAGTGCTTCCACGTTTTGGAAGTGGCAAGGATGGCTTCTTCTTTTTTGGTGGAAGAGGAGCTGCCATTGGCATTCCACCGCCAAACATTCCATGCATACCCATACCGCCGCTCATTTTTGCCATTCGAGCACGTAATTCTTCTTTGCGTCTTACTTCGGGGTCGATATCGTCCTCCTCCTCCTCCTCCTCCTCCTCTTCCTCTTCTACTTCAACAGGCGAAGGTTCTTCAACGGCGCCTTCTTCTTCGCCAACATCCGGTTCCACGACTGGAGCTGTTGGCGCACGAACAAGAGGTTGAGGGGGTTTGACTTTAGGTTTGTCGTCGCTATCATCCTTTCCGGTATCTTCCAATTCTTCCGCAGTTTCGGCTGCTCCTGACATGTCCGCTTCATTTCCATCCTCAATCGATGGAATAGGTCCCCGAGAAGATTTCGCTCGTCGTGGCACACCTTCTTCTTCCCTAACAGAATCCATTGACATCTTTCCAGGCCTATCCCCAGTATCCGGTCGTTCTAAGCTAGCAGTCTCTCCCTCTTCTGTGACTTCATGAGATTCCGTTCTCTTCTTGGGTGGGCGCTTAGGCTTCTCTTTCTTCTGCGCTGCATCCGCATGTCTAGAAGCTTGTTCCATTTGCTGTTTTTGCAAAAGTGCGATGCGTTCCTTGAGACTCGTTGGCTTAGGCTGTTCCTCTTCATCATTGTTGTTTGGAGAAGTGGGCGCTAATCCTGCTCGTTCAGCTTGTTCCTGATTCTCATTCTCCTTTGCTGCAATCTCGGGATCTTCCTCACGTCTGTATATCTTTTGTGGCGGGGGTTCGCGCGGTGTAGGAATATAAGCATCCTTTCTTGGAGGTGGGGCGACAAATGGCTTTTTGATGAAATTATTCGAGCCTCCAGAACTGAAACCTGCGGGTTTGAATGGAGCTGGCGGAGGTGCAGCCTTGTTGAATGCTGCGATACGATCTCTAAATGACCCGGCGCTTGGTTTTTCACTAACAGGAGGAGAAGTTGGCTTTTGACTTGGAGGTGGTTTTGCAGCTGCTGGTGCTGGGGGTGGAGATGCAGGTTTTGGTGGTTTAGCCTGTGGAGCTGGTTGAGGAGGAGGAGGTTGTCTTTCTTGTACCACGGGAGCTTCAGGAACCTCTTCAGGCTGTGTTTCGATTTCCGGCTGAGGTTCTGGTTCTCTTACTGGCTCGGAAGCGACCACAGGAGAAGCTGGTTCGGGCTCCTTCTTTGGTCGATTGACACGCGTAGGCCTTGGAGGCGCGGTAGGCTCATACTTTTCCACAAAATTTCGTGGAAAAATGCCTTCTTGTTTGACTCCTGAAGCATCAACATATTCTCCCGCATACCAATCCGCATCTTCCTCCTCCGTCACCGTAATAATCTGGCCATTTGGAAAGTGAAGATCATCATCATGCGGTGAAGTGTATTCAAAGATAGCCTTCACCTTGAATGGTGGAATGGACATATTGAGGGTAAAGGTCGATGTTGTGGTTCAAAGTTCTTGTTGATGCTGTAACTCGGTCCCAACTAGTTACCAACCACCGAAGTCCGGTTTTGTGACGGATGATGTTCGTAACAATCTAGCGGTGGATTCGAAGGAATGAAAGTTTGAAAGGTGGAAACACAATGGCACAAGTTTTCTTTTGTAATATTTACGGTAATTGAAAGCGAGTAGTCTGTAGGAAAGAGGAAAATGTCGGGAGTCTTTGGAAAAGAGGCGGGGCGGTGTTTGTATCTAAACTCTGCTACTAGTCTACGTCAGCGCATGAATGAAACGAAGTCATAGACGGGATATATCTTGAAAGTTGTCAAGATATATAAGATTGTTAATTGATAACTTACCGAGAGCTTTAAGATTTAAGATTCCTTGAAATAAACTAATAAATATTAAGTGTTGATTACTTTGGTAAACAAGTATGTAGTACTCGTAGGTAGGTACTGGGTAGGTCTGATTGACTAGTAATTTATTGGAAGAGAGAGACCTTGGAATGATGGAAGGTTTGCAGAGTACCGTAAGGTGGGCGGGCATACATATGCTAGATAGCAGATGCTAGATGCTAGATAGCAGATGCTAGATGCTAGATGCCAGATGCCAGATGCCAGATGCTAGGGACTCAGATATGCGAATTGATTTGTGGTGCTTTGCGGACTTCCCTTTTCCTATGGGACGTTCTACCTATAAGACCATCTGGAGTTGCAGTTGCAGTTGCATGATCTGGTGGGCAAAGGAAAGCTTGCAAGTGATGATTCAAAGATTTGCTGAGGAGCACTTTGATGAATGTGGATGTGGCACTTTGAGGCACAGGGTATAATTGTGAGCCTTGGAGTGGTCAAGAGTGGTCAAGAGTGGCTCAACCAGAGGTACAAGGGTTTCTTGGGGATTTGACGATTTGATGATTTGACGATTTGACAGTTCACCGGTTCATGGATTTGAAGCTTAAACGATCTCGAGACGATATACGATACGCCTTCATGTAAGAAACATACCACGAACACATAAACAAGAGTACCCAGGTATAACTACATTGGCTCAAAGACAAACAATCAATTCCCCCTCCAATCAATCACACAATCCTTCTCTTTCCTCAACTGCAGGTGAGCTCAGGTACTGGGAGACTCAATGCCATGCCATATACAGCTATCTATATGTTAGGCTGTCGGCTACTCTTCAACGGAACAAATTGAATGGAATACCGTACCGTACTTTGATAGATCCACGGATTAAGAAAACCAACCATCAATCTTATCAATCAAATCAAATCAATTCAACTCGACTCGGCTCAAATCAGTCAAATCAAATAAAATCAATTCTATTCCAATCTATCCAATACATCAAATACCTACCTACCCACCCACCCACAACCTAAGAAGAGGACAACAAAAACGAAACGAAAACAAACTAAAAAACACACAAATATGTCCACCCTTCAAAAGCCCAAATCAATATTAAAAAAGACAACTTCCTCCTCCTCCTCCTACCCCTCCACCTCCAGCACCACCAGCACCACCACCAACCCCTCACCCACCAAAGCCGAGCGCGACCGCGAAGTGGCCCTCTATCACGCGCGCCTCATCCAAGAACGCAAAGAAGTCGAGCTCGAAATCCTCTCCTCCACCGAATCCCTGATTGATTTCCCGCTCGCCTCCGCTCCCCCCCACGATGCCTCGAACCCCGCACCGTCTGACGCCCGCGCCTTCAAAGAGATGCTTCGACCCTTTCAGCCCAGCGACTACGATGCCTTGATCCTCGAACGCAATCTCGATAGTCGGTGCGGGTATACCTTGTGTGCCAATCCGCGGCCGCGAGATAATAAAGGTGGTCAGTGGAGATTGCTGGGCATGTCAGGGAAGGCAAAGGATTTTAGGATTGCGAAGAAAGAAGATGCGGAAAAATATTGCTCGGATACGTGTGCCAGGAGAGCTTTATATGTACGAGTTCAATTGAGTGAATGTCCAGCTTGGGAGAGGAGTGGCGACAGCTCTGCTACGAATATAGACTTACTGGACGAACCCAAGACAGAGGAAGATTTGGTTATGGACGGAATTGAGAATTTGGACTTGAACAAACAGGAAGCCCAAGACAAGCAGAGGAAATTTGGAAACCTTGCTTTAGAGAGGGGAGAGACTGGTCAAGGTTCATCGAAGCATGTCTCGAATTTCTCGATAGTTGAGAAAGAAGTCAAACAGAGTGATGTCAAGCCACCGACTTTCGACTCGAATGAACTTGCTGATAGGATGGATACATTACATTTGGATCTGGAAGGTCACACATCTACATTTAATCATGGCAACAAGTATGGGGATTTATTTGGGGAAGATGATGACGATACAGAGATGGATACAGACTGGAAAATATGATTGCATTACTTGGAGTTATGGAGTTCATGGCAGGCAGGAGTAAAACTATGATACCCCACGTCCGTCACATTCAATGACATAGATTAACCAATGAATCAATTCTTACTGGTGCACCTCGAATTTCAACCGCAAATCGACTTTCCTGGAACTAAAGGCGTACACTATCATCATTCACGCACAACTTACCGTCAGATAGGAACGATAGCAATATAAAATCCTCAACGCGTTCTATATACACTTGCGGCTGGAGTCAGTAGACTTGAACGAAAAGATCGAAGTATCATGATCACAGAAGGTTCCGCATGGAGTTGCAGAGAAGTGCACTTCGGGAGAAGTCCCTCGTAGAGACCGTAGCTCGTGCTGCTAATATGTCGGCCGCATGCATCAAGCTCACAGCATACATCATTAGAAGATTATCAAATTCACGAAAAGCGAAAGGTTTTCCCGAAGGATGGCAATCAAGCCTCATCTCTCATAAAGAGAGAATCACGGGCGACACCTGGTTTTGGGAGGAATTCTCTCACATTGATCTGTATACACTTCCTGTCCGTCCTTTATACGCCAGTAGCCATCAGATCCATGTGCTTCCCAATAAAATCCCCCATACCCTTTGTAAATCCATAAATTTATTCTCTGCGGGCAGGTCTGTCGCCGAATCGTCTTGGTCCACGCTCGGTGGTTTGTGCTTGAGTGACTGGGGTGACGTTGCATGGAATAGAATCGAACTGTAACAAAAATATTAGATGCGAAAATAAACATCAAATTGCGCAAAATACATACACCAAGGGACTTGAGGAGATCCTTTGTCTCGACATCGACCTCGAGTTGTCCGCTCTCAGTGCTGGAAACATCGAGAGCAGAAACCTCTGGAACGTATTGATCCTTACGTTCTCTCTCCTCTTCTTGGAGCTTGAAGGAGATACCACGGACTGGTCCACGTTGAATACGCTTCATCAAATGGGTGGTGTAACCGGCAATCTATTTTATCAATTGTTAGAAATCCGTCGTTTTTCCATCCCATTCAATTGCAGGCTGTAATTTACCTTGTTGCGGAGTCTCTTGGAAGCAATGATGGCGATCTCATCACAGATTCTCTTGTTGGTCTCGAAATCGAGAGTCAACTTTGGGTAATATCTCTCGATAATGACCTTGGCGGACTTCTTAACAGTCTTGGTACGAACGCGACCCATGATTACGGTATTGAGGGGGTTGTATGTGGTGGTTGTCGAAAGTTTTTGCGGTTGTCGATTGAGAGGTATAAAATCTTCAAAATTCTTTTGTGTGGGAAAAGTTGTCGGTGTCTCGCTAGCTGGGACACTAGTGTCATTTTATGACCACGTGACTTTTCCCCTCACAACCTGTTCGTAGGAGAAAATCTCCCAAAGTCTTTGTTGCTATCTTTCGAATCAATTGAAATTTAAATCGACCACAAATTTAACATAGAAATGTAAAAAGACTCAGACAAGGATCGGCTCTTATTAATTTGGATAACATTCAAGCATTCTATTTTGTATGATTTTCGAAAGAACTAATCGAATTATTGAAAGTGCGTGATCAGTTCCACCTATATTCCTTCCTACAAATGACAATCTAGGCGGAACAACATCCAATTCCTGGGGTAATCCGGGGGGGTATAGAGACATGTTTTACATAAAGATACAAATACACTGCCTTGGCTAGAATGACCTCCAGGAATAAGTGTATGGCGGAAATTGTTTCTATACTAACAACTCGAGATTGAATTTCACATGTCATACGAACCACAAAACATTGATAATTATAATTATTTGCTCTCTACTCGAAAGTCTCTATAATGGTACAAATATCCAGACCTTTCCATTCCCCAGTTCTCCCTAACAATTCCTTCTAAAGGGTATCATGAACAAAGAAAAAGTACAAGCTTATTACCATCATGGGAATGAATGTATGTTTACCAAGGTCGATTCAATTCAATATGTATACCAATGAAAGTTTCTTGGAAAGAATCTATTGATCCCGTCGTGTAACAGGAATATCCCAGATCGAGGAAGCTAACTGTGTAGATTCAGATGGGGATGAATCTTGTTCGACGTGTGAATTTGAAGGTTCATTTTGATTGTCAACGTCGGAATTCGAAGCGAAAGGTATGGCGGAGGTGGATGTAAATACTGGAAGATCATATTTCTTCACTGCGGCTGGTGTGTTCGTATTCGGTGGTAACCATCGAAGTGGTTCTTGTTGTGCTATCGTGCTGGGAATCGGGCCTTGTGGTTGAAAGGGCACAAATCTGTCCGCGCTGTAATTTGATGAATGATCCGAAACATTTCCAGACTCATATTGTTCCATGGGAGGACCGATAGGTGAACTAGTCGGTAAGGGAACTTGTTCGGGCTCTTCCAATTGAGCAGAATCACGTGGAGGAAGAAATAGTTGCGGGGTTGAAGGTCCAGGTGAAATACTCATTATTGGTGTGGAAGTTGCAGATTGATTGTAGGTCGTCTCTGAATTGGCTGTTGTAGGCGGTGTTTCGTTTGACATATTAGAGTATGCTTGCCCATCTTCCTGACTCGATTCAATTTTCACCCTATGCTTTTCTTCTTCCTTGGCCTCTTTCTGTGCTTTAGTCAGAAGACTAATCTTGATTTTCTTCATACCAGAAGTTAGACTATCAACGTCAGAAGACTGGTTACTATTTTCCGCAGTTGGAACAGCTCCAATGGTATTCTTCATATTACTATCGGAGCCAGTCCCTGGAGGAGACTTCTTGCGGGGTCGACCTGGACCTGGTTTTGAAGCATCAGTTCGAGGTTTGGCAGGTGCTCTTGTTTTCTTTACAACGACAGGGGGTGGAGGAGGTCCACGAGAACTCGTAGCGGACCCCGGTCGTACACTCATAGAACTACTCGGTCTTTGAGGAAGTGATGGCGCTCTATTAGCAGCAGGTACCGGTCGAGAAGGAGGGGGCATTGTCCCAGTAGTGGATATAGATGCGGCACTGAGTCTCCGAGCAGACTTTTGCGTTGACTGACTAGAATTCGTTTCAGATGCTTGACTTGCGCTTGGAGCGGGGGGAGCCTATTAATTGTTAGTTTGTGACTATACAACATGACGTAAATACATACTTTGTGCACAGGTGAAGCGGCGGTGCTAGGAACGGTTCTTCGACGGTTTGATTTTGCAGCAGGCTTTTTGACCTCATCCTTTTCGATGCTATCAAGCAATTTTGGTGGAGGTTTTCTTGTTCGTAAAGACATTCTGGCATTAGCAGGTTCCGGATTAGCAGGTTGTTGGGCGGCTTCGGGGTTTGCTAATGATTGACGTTCTTTTCTTGCTTTTGTAGCTTCGGCAGCAAGATCTTCCCATTGACAACTCTTTGTCTGTCTATCAGTTGGAATAAGCAATTTACTCAATTCATGAGCTGCAACTGTCCAATGAACATCGGGTGGTGGAGGAGTAGGTGGCCTAGGAGGTGAAGATCTTGGAACTGGCACTCCATTTCTCATACCCATCGTTGATACACTTCGTTGTGCCGTAGGAGTATTGACGACTTTAGCAATGAAGGATTGTGTAGGAGATGCAAAATTTCCTTGAGGTCCTGCAGCTTTTTGAGTTTTCGGCTCCTCGGCGACTGGTGCACTATTCATAGCAGCATCAAGTTGTTCCAATCGACCTTGAGACCACCATAATGGATCATATGGCATGAAACCATAAGGAGATGGCGGTCCAGGGCTCAATGGATCTACACCAAGTCTCTGTCCCATTTCAAAGTTTAGACCTGTGAATGACTTTTCGGTGTGAGCTACGGGATCACTTCCTGACAAACCACTAAGATGACTCAACACCCCGGTACACAAAGCACGATCACTGTAACCACCCTCAAGAACACTAATAATCCTTCCGTCTACCCCCGTACCTTCCTCAGCTGCAAGTTTTACAACATCTCGGGTTAGACGAGCATAAAACTCGGTTGGAACGTTGACTTTATGACGTTGCATGCCAGAACTCTCCCACTCACTGGCGTCGAAACCAGCCGATAGGAAAATTGCAGCTTTTGGCTTGGGTCCATTAGGTGATGATTGAAGCCGCTCGTATTGTGTGCGTAAAAAATTTCGTGTCTTCTCGAGTAGTACTGAATACTTTGATTCATATAGTTCCCAAAATCCTTCTTCGGTTTTCCATGGTTGTAGGTGAACATTCCAAATATTTTGACCATGTGCATTTTCAATACAAAGACTAGCATTCTTGACTTTCTCCTCGTCACCCATCTCACATGGGTATGAATTAATATCATGGAGACTGAAATATCCAATCGAAGTCTTCTTCCACGGTAATGCATTCTTAGCCAATCCATTAGCACGAGCGTTATGTTCCCAAGCGATTGCTTGAGATCCATCTCCATGATGAAGATCAAAATCAATGATAGCCGCATGAGTTAAACCGTGAGTCAGAGAAGCATGTGAAATACCAACATGAACATTATTCAACCAACAGAATCCCGAAGGATAACTAGCTGAACAATGATGTCCAGGAGGTCTTATCGCAATAAAACTTCGGCGTGGTCCGAATCCCGTAGAAGAGCCTTCAAAAACAGCATCAACACCCTCACATACAGCACCCAGCGCACCCTCCATAGCGTCCAAAGACTCCGCACACAGATAGAGATCACCCTCGTGAAACTTTGAAGGAGGTGCTTCATTGGGACCTCGATTCATCTCAGGTCTAGCCAATTCTTTTCCGCTCATAGCGAGCTTGGCTTCTGCATTATCACACATAATCTTCAACTCCTCCATCCACTTTACTCCATGTACATTTGTGATCGCTTGCGAGGATAAAGACATTCGACGAGTAGTTTTGCGTATGCGAAAGGGTGTACTAGGTACCGCAGAAGCTTCCATGCCAGGATGAAGAGGATAGCGACCCTCGGAATGTCTTTCGCCTAGTCGTACATATGCTACAGACAACCCAAGTATGCTAGCATGAATTCTCTCGGGTCTTTCGACAATTGTACTCAAGCCGGTTCTTGAAGTTTTGGGCCGGGAGAAGCGATGTCCATAAACGGAGTCGTGAAGTATAACAATTGTCTCTGCAGATCTTGAGCCATCATTCTTATCTTGTAAATCCAATTCCGACTTGAAATGCGAGCTTGCGATGGATGCTGCAGTATGCCGCGGTGAGGGTTCACGCATTTCTTCCTCCCTTTGGGAGAGGAGTGATTTAGTACCCATGACAGATGGTGACCTGTGTGCAAATTGTGTAGATGATCTTCTGTTTATTGAATTTTTGTTTGGAGTTAAACCTCCACCGTTGAGTGAGTTTAAAGACGGTTTCCGAGATAGATGTGAAGTAGATGAGCGACGTTGGTCGAAACTAGCAGTACTGGAACTTCGGCGTAAGGGGCTTGGAAGCACGGGGCTTCTACCACTTGGTGATGGATAGAGATTTGAATGACCCCCATATGATGTAGCTCTTGTCGAAGAAGTTTGAGGTGAAATTGGAAGACCAGTTCTAGAAGCGTTACTGATTGAAAGGCGTCTCAGTGAATTTGATATTGGAGTATCGTTGTTACTTGTCGAGGAGGGCAACTGGACGGGCGAAGGGCTGGCATTTCTGCCACCATTTGGCGATGAGTATGCCATTGTAAATGAGCAAATCAGTGAATGAGTGAGTGAATGAGTGAATTTGTGAAATTGTGTTGAGCCGAAAGCTCAACCTTCACTTCAATTCTTGACCCTTCACTTAATTCAATCTTCTCGTCGCGAAGTTTCCAGATACAGAAGCTATGACGATGACGAAGGAACATGCGGCAAAGAATCCCTAAATCGCGTATTGGCGCAGATCGCGAACCCCTGCCAGTTAACGGTTCAGCCTCAGTGTCGTTATTTTATGAGGATCCAAGAGAAGAGTAATGAAATAAGTTCCAATATTGATAGAAATATATCAGAAGTCGTCTGAAGGAAATAACAAAATCTTGAATTTCAATCTCTTATGCTCGTAGAAACGCCGTCGTTTCAAGTTATATCTCTAGTTGCTTAGGGAGGGGTAGGTTTTGTTTCTTTTTTTTTGTCAGACTGTCATTGCATGCAGTGCCCAGCAATTCTCTTCAAAACCATTTTACTATTGGTATCTATTCATCTCTTATTGATCCTAAAATCTTCTCTTATTACTCCATTAGATCAACACCAACTGTTCTTAATGCTTCTACTGCCCAATC